GGAGGTTTCTTCCTGTTAAAAGGGAGTTTTTCCTTCCCACTGTCACCAAAGTGCTTGCGCATAGGGGGTCATTGTTGATTGTTGGGTTTTTCTCTGTATCTACTGTACAATATAAAGCGCCTTGAGGCAACTTTTGTTGTGATTTGGCGCTATATAAATAAAATTGAATTGAATTTAATTGAAAATTCATCTAAATCCTTGACCTACTCTGATGCATGCTCATGTAGCTGAGCACTTGAACACAGTTGAGTGCCACTGCCAGAAAGATGGAAAAATACAGGAAATCTTTAACCTCTCATAGCACCAGCAGTAACTTTCGATTTAAGCTCCTTATTGTATCATATTTTGACTTTGGTTTACTGAGCTCTTCACTTTTTCTTAAGTGTATTTTGTAATGTTCCATACTATATTGTATTTCTTTTACTGAGCAATTTTCTTTTTCATATTTTTCACAATACATAATATATACACAACACACAAAACAGTAATTTCCCAACATTGGCCATAGATATTATCTTATCTTACCTTACCAATGACCGGCTTGTGCTTTGAAGATTGTGATAGCTTCTCCTTAGCTTTGTGCAGTCTTTCAGTGTGCATTTCAGTGAGCATTTGAAAAATGTAGTCTTTTGTAACGCTATTCCTGAAGGTTTTGCACAATAGATATAACATAAACATCAAAACCCTCTCAAAATTTTCACAACTCTTTGCATCTCCTGGGCAACAAACGTTATCACTGAACATCTGATAACTATACGATATTAATAAGTGATGGCAATGCACATAAGAAAGTGAAAATTAGTTTTTCTAGAATGTACCAAATTTTCAACGTCTTGATGCATGCTCAATCATCCAGGTGAGGAAATCCCAAAAACATTAATTCTGTTCATCTAGACGTAACGTTTTCAGCGGGAGAAACGTTTTGTCACTCCTCCAAGTGACTTCTTGAGTCTCAGCTGACTGGAGGTTTCCCCAACCTTATAAACAGTACCTTTGCAAAATGACTGAAACTAGCACCACTGAATGAAACATGGGCAGTGAGGTCAGATTCTTGATCATTAATATGCAAATTGTCATGACCATTGATCAACAACAACGTCACAATAAGACGTTTACAATTCTGGGTTCCAAAGATTATACTACCCCTTTTCCCTACTTCTTTTTAGACAATATGTGAAAATGTGTTTGAATGGGAATCCTGCTGCGTGGGTGTCACAGGGGTGAAGAACAGTAACACTTTCAATAATTTAGTAATGACACAACAGTAATTGCACCTGAAAAAACAGGTTTAACTGTTTTGCTTTTTAGGCGTGTCATCTTTTAACACATTAGAGTTACTGGCATCAAAGATTAAGTGCTACGTTGGAATGTTTGATTGATTGATTGATTGAATCTTTATTTTGAACATGTTGAAAAAGTATAAAAAAAAAATAGAATTAAAAGAGACAAATGAACAAAGCAAACAAAAGGAAAATGTTAATAGGTGAATATGCGATTGTATAGGAATTTCTTTTATTTATGTATTAATCACATTATTTTATTGTATAATGCCTTGGTGCCACTGGATTTTAACATGTCTGACACCCATACTGAAGACAAATGGTGGGGGTGTAGTAGGTAGGGCTGGGTATCGTCACTGATTTCTAGAATCGATTCAATTCCGATTCACAAGGTCCCGAATCGATTCGATCCACAATTCGATTTAATTCGATTCGATTCGATTCGATTTAAATCTGGGAAATTTTGACAGTCAGAAATATTATAATTCAGATCAGTACATTTACATATTTTTGTATCAATAAAAAGGAAGCTGACACACGCAAGACTTTATCACAGGTGTGAGCGTCACAGCAGATGCCTTTGTGTCAAAGTAGCTGAGGATAAAACACAGAAAAACATGAAGGTGATTTTCCTGGCCTGGGATTTTATAAAAATATTCAGCAGTACATCAAAAACGAAAGAAAACCATTAATTAATGAACATTACCTCTGACGTTACAGCGGTTTTATTAGAGACACGGCTAAGCATTTTGCATTTTGAATAATTTTAAAAAGTTTAAATTTGTTCAGTATTGAACAGCAGAAATGAGGTTTTCTTTTCGGAAGAATGTAAAAAGGGAAAAAAACAGCGGCCGACAGCGCTGTAAGCAACAGTAGACTGTTGTAGTGCGTAACAAGCAAGCGAATAATGAAGAAAGGGAAACTGTTCTTGAAGTACAGAGAGAGAGAGAGAGAGAGGGAGAGAGAGAGAGAGAGAGAGGGAGAGAGAGAGAGAGAGCTGCGCATCACGATGGAAGCAAAACAGTAAAAGTAAGAGTGAATTCATGACGATGTTTATGTGAAGCGTTTGGATCTTCTTTTGCTGCTGGTTCGGTCAATATTGTTTGGAGAGACATCAAACTAACAGCTTTAGAATCAGCGCATAAAGGGCGTGAACACAAAGCGCGGACCCGGCGACAGATCAGAATCAGCGAGCTGTCGGCTTTCAGCCCCGACCGTGAGAAAGGCGACATCTAACTGATTCTGATCCGCGGGTCGCGCTGTGTGTTTAAGTCTATGTGCAGAATCCGTGTACCTGCTCTCATTTACTGTCTTAACTGTTTGGTGGTTCTTGAAATTTTGTGAGATGTCACCAGAGATCATTTCGGGCAAAATAAATTTATATTAAAAAATCGATTCAGGATTTTAATGAATCGATTTTACGTTATCCAAGCCAGAATCGATTTTAATCGATGAATCGATTATAAAAACCCACCCCTAGTAGTAGGGCTGCGCGATTAATCGTTAGAAAATCGCGATCTCGATTCATACTTATGTGGATCTCATTTCCAAATGACAACGATTTAAAGAAAAAAGAAAAAAAAGACGACGATTGTACCGCATTTTGATCCGGGACGTAATCTGCATGAAAACAAGCGCTCACTCTTCCTGCTCAACAAATGACAAGGGCGGAGCCTTATACCACGTGATACAGAAGCTGTGCAGTGTGATGCTAAAATTAGCAGGGAAAAAACAACGGAGAGCACGTCAGGGATGACGAGAAAGTGACAGGAGAAAATCCGTCCTGGTCAACCACCCAAACATCAATAACGGGAACCTTATACAGCGCTTCGCTATACACGTCGAACTCCCGCAGGCACAAAGAAATTTTGGAGGCTATTACTTATCACCTGACCAAAGATATGGCTCCCATCAACACTGTGCAAAACGAGGGATTTAGGAAAATGATCAACACCCTAGACAAACGCTACACAGTGCCGTCCCGCAACTATTTTCTATTGTTGCACTACCTGCTCTATACACGCAGTGTCGAGCAACGGTGGAGACGGAATTTCAAGCAGTACAACATTTTGCGGCAACCACAAAACCTGAGACATTTGTTGTTTTTATGTTTATTTATTGTTTTTATGTTCAGTTTCAACTGTTGCGAAGTTGATGTGCAGTTAATAAGTGCAATAAATATTTATACTGGAAAAGAGAATCGTGAGAGAATCGTGATCTCAATTCTAAGCCAAAAAATCGTGATTCTCATTTTATGCAAAATCGTGCAGCGCTAGGGTGTAGTAAGGAAGTTGGGGGAAGCAGACCAGAGTCTTTTGTCTCTTTGAGGACTCTGGGAAGTAGCAAGGGAGTGTGAACCTTAAGGTGTGAAACAGCTGTGTACTGCCTTTTGTTCCTGAAGAAGGTATTTAACTGAGAGCCATGCTAGGCTCAGTGAGAACTCTGCTGACCGTCTGTCCCGCGGACATGCAGGGGCTCCATCAAGCTTGGTTGTCTGTTGTCTTTGTGTGTTTGGATTAAAGAATGTTAGCTACCGCTCACTGCTCGTCTGCAGGCTTTATTTAAATGGAAAACTTCCACAACACTATCTGAAATGGTGTCATGTTTTATCACCACATAATACAATGCTGCATTTTCTGTACATGCTCTGGTCACGTGTCAGATTGATTATTACAATTCTATCCTTGCAAACGTCTCTATAGACATCAACTGGTGTAAAATGCAGCTGCTCATCGTATTACCAGACCTTTCTATAGAAAATATTAATACTTTCTTTCAACAGCTTCACGGGCTCCCTGTAAAAATACTGCATAAATGTTAAGATTCTGTTTCTTACTTTCAAATCTCTCCATGATCTCGTACCTCCATTTATCTCTGATCTTCTGCACATGGCCACTCGTTCCTGTACTCTGAGATTTTCCTTTTCGGTTGCTCTTGTTATATTCCCTGCTCGCCTGACTATCTGAACACTATGAGCTTTCAGCCAAGTGGTGCCTCATATTTGGAAATCTTTCACACCACATTTGCATTATTGACCCCCTATCTTCAAAGCCAATGTTAAAACACATCTTATCAAGCGTTCCTATTCTCTTTGATTCTTTATTGCTGACTTTTTAATTATATGATGTTTTCCAACTGTTGGAACCTCTTGCATATTGTGATTTTGGTAGTTATTTCCCCAAAAGTTCATCTGGAAGTAGCGTTTTCAGTGGGATAAACATTTCATTACTCATCACAGTGACTTCTTTAGGTATTTAATTGCTTGTAAGGTGTCTTTGAGTGTCTTGAAAAGCACTTTGGTCTCAGAATCTCATCTCTGCTTTTCTGGTTCTGTTGGCTTCATGATGGCCTCCAGCTCGCACTGGAACGGTTTGCAGCCGAGTGTAAAGCAGTGGGAATGAGACTCAGCACCTCCAAATCTGAGGCCATGGTCCTCATACGGAAAAGGGTGGAGTGCCCACTCCAGGTCCGGGACGAGTTCCTGCCCTAAGTGGAGGAGTTTGAGTATCTCGGGGTCTTGTTCGCGAGTGACGGGAGAAGGGAGCAGGAGATCAACAGACGGATTGGTGCTGCAGCCGCAGTGGACACTGCACCGGTCTGTTGTGGTGAAGAGGGAGCTCAGTGTAAAAGCGAAGCTCTCAATTTACCAGTCAATCTATGACACTACCCTCACCTATGTTCAACGAGCTGTGGGTACTAACCGAAAAAACAAGATCGCGGATGCAAGCAGCGGAAATGGACTTTCTCCAAAGGGTGGCCGGCCTCTTCCTCAGAGATAAGGTGAGAAGTTCAGTCATCCAAGAGGGGCTCAGAGTAAAGCTGCTGCTTCCTCCACATCGAAAGGAGTAACAGTTTTAATAATTTAGTAATGACACAACAGTAATTGCACAGCTTCACTTTACTTTCGGTCGTAAAACCAAAACTTGACGATCTTACTGTTTTATTGTAAATTTTGTGAATGGTTTTGTTGGGACGTATCAGTATAACTTTCTGACCAGTTTTATAGTCAAAAATATAACCATGTCAACAACAGGTCCAAACGACACTCATGTAGCCTACGTAGATTTTGCATAACATTGAAACTCATCAACCCGGTTGTACTAGTGTTTGTTGAGCCCAGAAGCAAATTCTTTACTACTAAACAACTACAGTGACTGGGCAGAAACAGTGATGTGTTTCAGCTTTTAAGAAGTATGTTTGGTCTCAAGAAAAGTAAAGTCAAAATTAAGGAAGGTGTTTTTGAAATCTTTTCCTAAAGTCCATGAACTAATGCTTAATGATGAGTTCAAAAGAAAAAGCCAGCTGAATTAAAAGCTTAGGAAGCATTCAAGCAGATAGTCCAGAATTTTCATGGCAATTACAGAACAGAGATTTATGCTAGACTTGTGTATAAGATCCTAAAAGCATATCAGGTACCAAATCTGGGAAATGTCAGTGATAAGGACACAGAATTGAGGATATTTTCAGGTAACGAGATTATTATTTGAGATGCATGAGATTTGCCTAGGTGCCTAGGTGAAGGAAGAAAAAAGCAATGGAGGCTAGATTGAAGACCAAATCAGGGAATAGACAGTTCATGCTTGCATCGAAATTATTGCCAGTACCACTACAGTATATGTAAACTCTAAAAGGTAACGATGGACTGCCTTCATAAGGGGTAACAATTTTATTACTCAGCAGTTGCTGAGTAATGTGAGACTGAGGTGGAAGAAAGGAGGTCTAGGTAACCCAAAATGATATCCTTTTTGTTTTCTTTTTAGCCATAAACATTGATTTTGCCAAACTTTATCCAAAATCATAACATTTCCTTTAACTCCGTTGTAGGTAGTTATAAACAAAGCATTTACATATCAACAGTCCTTAATCATATTTCGCAAATTTCATGTTCTGTTGACTGAATAATGATCATCTATCCAAAGTGTAGTCCATACTGTTTGTGCACAGTGTTTGGCAATGTGTTTACCCAATGGAATCTTTTAGAACATTCTCAGCATGTTTTGCTTCATCTGCTCTAATTTTCTTTTACTCCACCCAGTATATACCTGCTTCACCACTAACAGCGATCTTCAGTCTTCTCTCACAGAGTGAAGGAGTTCGAGAGGTGAGTTCAACCAGTTAAACATCTTTCTATGGCTTATCTTGCTTTCTGATATACTCTGTTATTAATTTATAATCACTATACAGAAGTAAGAAATAATCCATACTATTTAATCTTGCTTTTAGCTTTGGAGGGATTAAAAAGAAAATGTATGTATTGTGTATGTATAACATGTCATTCAAACGTCATACTTTTATGTTCTTTACTATTGAGTTTCTGTATCAACAATTCTTAGATCTAATGCACTGCAATAATTAAAATGCACTTTTATCACTTCATTTTTCTTTTCCAGTATCACTTTACATCTTTATCTAAAATAAAAATTAAATAATCTGAAAATCAACTGAGGGGCACAAAAAAAAAGTGAGAACTGAGTTCTCACGATGGGTGGCATAAAAATGTCAGTGCAAGTTCTGCTACTGTCATCTATTGGCATTGGTAAGTATCTCTGAACATTCAATTAGTCATTTAATAGAATATATATCCTTATCTAACACTTTTCTTTTTTATAAAAAAATCTATTGTATGTATGTCAGGACTGGTCTCTGCAACTGTAAGTGTTTTTTTTTTTCAAGATTAAATAATTAAATCAAAAACAATGAAATGCAATGAAATACTGAATTAACATGTTCTTCTATAAATTTACATTACAGTCCAACACAACAGAAGGTAAGTTTTTTTTATACATATAAACCATATGCAATTTTATATGGATATAAAATAAAATGTCACCTTTTTCCTCTTTTAAAAGTTAATCCATTAACATCATTCTTATCCATTTTCCATTAATTATTAATTTGAAAATGTTAATACATGTGTTCATTCATTTTCTTTTTTGCATTTTATAGGACCAGGTTTATCTGAAAACAGGTAGGCATGCAAACTCAAATAACAATTTGTAGACATAATACATTCCAGGGATGTTATTTTAGTTAAAGATGACTTTATTATTCATTTCTGTTACCGTGTTTTTTCTTCTTTAAGCAAAGCCACCACTCATACCAACGGTTTCCAGGAAACTTGCCATGCAGCAAATCTACAAGATGCCATTCAAAGAGTAAGCCTTTTGGAATTAATTTGAGTAAAAAATGATAAATTCATCTTTAAACCTTAAATTATTAAATGTCACCACAAAGCATTGTTGATAAATGACTCCCCCTTGTGCTAAGTTACTGACAGTAACCCAGTGCTTTCACCTGCTCTATGTGTTCTTAGAGCTCTGCTGCAGTGGACACACTGACAGGCGAGCTATCCTGTAAAAGGGGTAAAAATGCAAGCTTAACAGATGAAAAGTCGAGGATGGTGGAACAAAATCTCAGGCAGATTGTAGAGTCGACTTTACAAGTGTTCTTTGACCTGGTAAATGAGCTAATGCTTTACTTCAGTATAGTGTAGGTGTAAAACATGTAACAGCTTTTAAGAATGGTAAATGGCAAATTTGTCTTGTAACAGAACAACAATGTCCCTGGATTTGATGTTCTGGATATATTTGGAGTTCTGGACAGCCTTCGTTTGGGTAATGACAGTGACCCCGAATTCATCAGGCTGTGGTTCTCTGTGAAGATGATTCCTCTTTTGCCTTATGTCAATGGAAACTTCCTAAACCAGCTCAGCAAGCAGAACTTCAGCTGCACCTCTTTCCAAGAGATGTAAGTGAATAAATTCCATTTTACCAATTATTGCTGGTGACTGCTGTTAACTGCTTATGGAAATCATTAAAGACATAAACAATTTTAATTGAATATTCTAACATGTAACACATTTCTCACTGTGTATTGCATTGAATGTTGATGTCAGGGTCCCAAAGTCCACTGAAATCACTACTAAAAGGAAGAAAGAAATATGTGTATCACCTGATTGTTAAATTACAAGTCAGACCAAACAAGTTATGACTGTGTGACCCAGCTGTTGTAGAAGAGGCATAGACCTTAATATAAGGTGGTCGTTCGTGAAGCTGTTTTCTTTAAAATAAGAATGTTATATAATGATTCAAAAATTATGTAATTGAAAACAAGTCAATAGGAGAATTTCAACTGAAAATTGCTACCCACGATGTAAAACGCGGTTGGAAACTTTTCCAGACATGAAAAGACTGAGGTTAAAAGAGTTCACTATCCCATATTAGAATACCATATGAAATTAGCAAATTATCAAAGGAAATGAAAGTGTGGATGAATAAACGAAAGAAAAAAAGGTCTTATTCTGTGTAGAAGAGGTTGTGACAAAATGTACCAATTTGTTGATTACGATGATTTAAAATATCAATGGGATTTAAGTTTGAAATGTTTGTGATTGAATTATGTTGAATTTTGAATATGTTGAGTAATTAGTTATTGAAAGCTTTCTCTCAAATGTAGCATTCAGGCATTTGGAAGCCAAAAGGCATCCATGGACAGAGACACACAGCAAGCAGTCTTCACTTACTTCATCAAACCGTTCTTGTCAAGAAATGACTCAACAGGTAAAAGGAGAAACTCAAGCTCACTTTGGTTTTTCCATGACATCATGTGGTATATTACCCTGTCAATAACTTTCTTGCTTTTTCTGCAGATCCTGGCTGTGTCTCATCTATCACGGGGAGCCAAGTGTGGCTAAAGGCAAACCTTGGCGACTTCTCTGATTTTGCAACTGTGCAGGACTTGCAAGCCTTCAATCCTAATTTGTCCACTGTGAGTGCCACTGCAGATGTACATCTTCCTGTAACGGAATTTCTTTACCCAGAACATTTCCATGACTGCTGTCTTATTTATGCTGGTTCTCTTTTGTAGGCTGATTGTGTCAGTCCTTAGTCCTTCTCAGATGGCACAGCTGGTACTGAGTTTGGGAGCCTCCAATAACACAGATTTGATTGATCGTGTGTTTGAGCGACTGCAAGAGGGCAACGCTCTAAAAAATGTGGATGGATTCCTCACACAACTGACAACCAATGGACAGGTATGCTAGGCTTCTAAAAGGTGAAGGAGGACAATCCTGGTGTTTATTCCAGCAGGATAAGACAGAATAAGACATTTGCTAAACCGCTACACAACTCTTCATGGAGTCTATCATAGAAAAGACTTGTTTGCAACCTTTGTACCATGTTGTATGAGTACATTTACAACATGCAGTCTCTGTATTGCTTAGCTTCTTTTCCACCTCAATTTCACAGATGCCAATTTTCCAGCCTGTTGTGAGAGATCGGGTCATGAATACGACCTTCATCATCATCAGTCCACATTTCTCCACTTTCACGACAAACGACTATGAACTTTGGTTCCATGTGAAACTGATTCCTATCCTTGCCAGTTTTACTCCAGAAATGCTCATAAACGCAACCACAAAAATAAGCTGCACAAACTACCAAGTCATGTGAGTAGCTTTCTTGGAGCAATCAAGTTTTTGTTGCAAATGAAAATGATAATAGTGACAAAAAACAGCATGAGAATGTTTTCTTTCAACTGTTGCAGTGTGAGTGGGTTGGCTTTAGTTATCCAGGAGATGCCACTGTACAGACGGCAAGAGATCACACATGGTCTGCTGGGCTATCTAAGAAATGCTGAAAATGCCATCAATGAGCCAGGTAGGGCAGACATAGGGTGCGTTATGTGCTTTCCAGTGTGAAATGTCTTGAAAAGCACTCAGACAAAAAACTTGCCCACAAATTCTTTCATGTCTACCTGTCAGAAACCTTCCTAAATTGAGCACATCCTAACTTTTGTCTGCATGCCTTAGCTTGCAGGCAACAAAATGAGAGTGATGCCCAATGGGTTAAAGCAAAGCTGGGTCCATTCGTCCAATATACAGCGTACTCTGACCTCAAAGACTTCAACATCTCTACGGTAAGCCCTACATTGCACTTCTAGTCCTCCCTTAAGAACAGGAAAACAAAATTGTAGACTTAAGAAGACAAACACAGGAGTTTATTTTGCCATATCAAAAAGTACAAGCAAATCATAGAACACACTTTCTTTGGTTGCAAACTGTAATCCTTTACCCACAGCATTGGTCATTACTGTTGTCTGATATTATGTTGATTCCCTGTTGTAGGCTGGATTGTTGTCGACGCTCAATCCCTCTGAGGTGGCACAGCTGCTACTGAGCTCTGGAGCCTCAAATAACACAGATTTTATTGATCTTGTGTTTAAACAACTTGAACAGGGCAACGCTCTAAAAAATGTGGATGAATTCCTGACACAGCTGACAGCCAATGGACAGGTAGGCTAGCCTCCTAAAAGGGTGAAGGAGGACAATGCGGATATTTGATTCCAGAAGTAAACAGAATAAAACATCGGTCTCAACCGCTACATCCATTGTTGGCTATTGTATCTTAGAAAACAAATGGTTACAGCCTTTGTACCATGTTGTATGGGTGTACTTCCAACATGCAATCTCACATTTGCTTATGTCTTTTTCCACTTTAACATGACAGAGCCCACATTTCCAGCCTGTTGTGAGAGATCGGGTCATGAATACGACCTTCATCATCATCAGTCCACATTTCTCCACTTTCACGACAAACGACTATGAACTTTGGTTCCATGTGAAACTGATTCCTATCCTTGCCAGTTTTACTCCAGAAATGCTGATAAACACAACCACAACCATCAGCTGCACAAACTACCAAGTCATGTGAGTAGCTTTCTTGGAGCAATCAAGATTTTGTTGTAACAGAAAATGACAATAGTGACAAAGAACAGCATGAGAACGTTTTCTTTCAACTGTTGCAGTGTGAGTGGGTTGGCTTTAGTTATCCAGGAGATGCCACTGTACAGACGGCAAGAGATCACACATGGTCTGCTGGGCTACCTAAGAAATGCTGACAATGCCATCAATGAGCCAGGTAGGGCAGACATAGGGTGTGTTATGTGCTTTCCAGTGTGAAATGTCTTGAAAAGCACTCAGACAAAAAACTTAAATTCTTTCATGTCTACCAGTCACAAACCTTCCTAAATTGAGCACATCTTAAGTTTTGTCTGCGTGTCTTAGCTTGCAGGCAACAAAATGAGAGCGATGCCCAATGGGTTAAAGCAAATCTGGGTCCATTCATCCAATATTCAGCGTACTCTGACCTCAAAGACTTCAACATCTCTACGGTAAGCTTTACTCTTATTACTCTTCCTGTCTTTCTTGAGAATAGCAAAGCAAAATTCTGGAAATTATACAAAAGACATGCATTTCATGAATTCTACTTTTTTGTATCCATAGCTGGCAGTTCTGGACGTTCTTTCACCATCGCAAAAGGCTGATCTAATCCTAGATCCAAACAGTGGTGCTTTAAACGATGCACATGTTGTAAGGGAGGTGTTGACAAGCTTGACAGAGACCAGTGATTATGAGCAGCTCAACCAATTCTTCCAGGCTTTTGCAAACATCAACAAGCAGGTGAATTCTCATTGGTAACCTTACCTCAGCGCAAACATCAACAAATGTTAACAGTGTTCTTTCATAAACCTGCTCAAGTGTTTAACTGAAAATGATCCATTTCTGATATGCTTCATGCCTTGAGGCATCCCTGCTGTACAGAAGTACAAAGATTTAGTTTAGATAAGCTCCCCCTCATCTCCGCATTTCCACAAAGACTTCAGAACTTCCTCTCTGACCTTATTATGATCCCCTTCTCTTTTCAGAGAAATGTCACCCTCATCCAAAATCCAGATGTGCGAGACACCATTTTGAGCCTGACCTTGACAGCCCTTGCTCCTCAGCTTAAAGACTTTCAGCCAGAAGACTATCAACAGTGGTTCCAGGTTTATTTGGTTCCTGTGATGGCGAGCATCCTTCCTAGCAGCTTGCGGGTGATCCCCAGTAACATCACCTGTGAATCCTACCAGGCTGTGTAAGATATTTCTGATATCCACAGTTAGACATTTGGGTGTGCACAATGCCAAGCTGAGGCTCCTGACAAGTCACAATGAATTCTTTTCTTCCTTTAGATACGATGGTCTTGCGCAGAGTTTGGCAGCATTGCCACTGGACCTTTCACAGGGCGTGAGATCAAGCAAGCAGTACCTCCAGGACACATTCCCACGTATGTGGCAAATGGGCTTTCCTGACTAACCTTTTCCCAAAAGCCCAGTACCAGCACTGTAATGACTACTCCATTGATTTGTTTCCTTTCTTTTTCTTCTCAAACAGGCTGCTCAGTTCCAGCTTCCTTTGTGGTAAGATTAGTTTTTTGGGGGGTGTGTGTGTGTGTGTGTGTGA